GTCGTCCAGAAGCCGGCGACTGATCTGCCTCACCCGGGAAGAGCGCAATGATGGTGCCAGCTTGGGCCAGTGAAGCAACATCCTCCACAACTAAATTGAAGAACAAAACGACAGCAACTTGTCTGTTCCCCTTCCCCCAATTCCCCAGCACTGTTCCTATTCCCCTAATTCCCCAATAAAAATCTTTAAAAAAAAAGAATTAGTAAAGGCCCCTCTGCTTCAGAGTTCATCTTGGAAACCCTTTCCCAAGGACTGAGACAGGTAAACCCAAACACCTATTGCTGTTGTGTTCTATCCTGGTTTCTGGCTGGGCTGGGCTACAGCACCCAGCCTGGGTAAATCTCAGCTCTCACATTTCCTGGAGGTTTTTGTTTCTCTCCCTAAAAAGGTTGCCCTGGCTAAGCTGAGTATGTGGTGGGTGATCTTAACCACAGAGGACCCCATTGGGAGGCAGGTCTGGCAGGCAGCCCTACCAACATGGCCATTCCAGGGAATTCCTCAGCTCTCAAGAAGGCTGAAGTCTGACAGCAGCGGATTCCTCCCTGGCCCAAGGCTCCTGTCCCTACACACAGAGGTTCTGCAGGTTCAGTACCTAGCAGGGTGCCTTGCACATGTGAGCCTCCTGTAAGCAGCAGGGCTTATGGCCACTGTCTTCACCAGGGAGGGAGGAGTGGGTGATGGGATGTATGTGGCAATGATGAGGGAAAGCTCCCCGAGAGAGATGGGGACTGTGGATAAAAGTTGAATGTACATATAAATAAATGCTTTTGTCTGTTTGTTTAAACTAGCACAGTGTAGCTGAAAAGCTTCTTTAAGTCCCATGTCCTATGTTGATCTGTGACCTTGGACAAATCACCTCCCCTCTCTGGGCATCACTTTTCCTTATCTATAAAATGGAGACTTGGATTAAATTCTTGTTGCGATCCAGTTTAACAGTAACATTTTATAATTTTATGTTAATATAATAATCTGATAATCTAAGTAAAGGGAAGTAATATAAGTCTAGGAAAGAAGAAACCACTGATTATTATATGCTGCTTACATTAAATTACCTTGTATCCTGGAGCATACAGTCTTCACCACTGGGCCCATCCACCAGCACCCTTTCCCTGAGGAACATCGCTGCTTCCCAAATGCTTATCTCCTGACTGTGACCCTGCTACTCTACCCTCAAGGTCAAACAGAAAAGACCATCCCACCATATACTCTGCCCCACTCCCCAAAAGCATTCGAATTAAAGAAAAAAATGAGTTGGTGCCTTGTGGGTCCTTATGGTGTGGTGGCCAGAGCCCTAGACCACCAGTCCCTATCCTGGTCTATCACCAGTTCACTATGTGACCTTGAACAAGCCACTTCACCTCTCTGGACTTAGCCTCGTCTATAAAACAAAGGGTTGGATGGGTTTCTCTGCATGAGCCCTATTCTAACATTTCCCTGCTCTGCCCTATGGTGGCTACCAAGGCTGGGAGCGGCCAGGCTCTGCAGGCCAGCATTTCTGCAACTGCTCCAGCATCCCCAGCAGGCTGGTGCCAACATGTGAGTGCAGCCAAGTGTCTGCACTTAGCGCTGGAAGCCAGAAATCAGGCGAGATACGCAGGGCCTCTCCAGCCACAGCACGTGTCCCCATCCAAAGCTGGATTCTGCAGCTTTTCTGACAGATGTTCTCTTACTTGTAGGATAAGGACAGACAAGGCCCTCCAAAGGAGTCAGGAACGTGCGCCAGGGGCCAGGCCAGGGCAGAGAGTGGAGCTTATGATTCCTTGTTTGTTAATGTGTGGTTTTAGCTAAGGTATAACATACCTACAGGAAAATGTACATGTACAGGTACAGCTTGATATATTTTCATGAAATGAGTGAAACAGGCACTCAGATCAAGAAACAAAACAATACCTACGCCCCAGAAATCCCCCTTCTCCTCCTTTCCAGTCACTAGTCCCCCAAATAACCACTATTCTGACTCTGAACACATCTGGTTCATTTTGCCTGTTTTGAACTTCACACAAACGGAATTATACAGTATGGACTATCTAATTCTGTCTTTCTTCACCCAACATTATGTTTGTGAGTTTCATCCAACAGTACAGGTAAAAATGAAAAATTGCTGTCATTCATTTTCATTTTTGCATAGGAAGGATTTAATGAGGAGCTAAAATCAAGGAGAGAGCCCTGAGTGTAGGCTGGGGTACTCACTGATAGCCAAGAATGCAGGTTTACATACAGCTCTCCCCAAAATAAAAATGACCCCTTTCCACCACTGTTCTCCCAGCAGAGTTCCACACCTTTCTCCTGTGGGCTCCATAAGCGGGGGGGGGGGGCAGGGCCTTGAGGCCCCAAACTTACTCAAAGGCCAGAAGCTCTTATTCACTGAACACTTACCCTGTGCCCAGCTCTGACTCAGCATCTCATTCAATCCCCACAACTGTGAGGTAAGTACTGTTGTTATTCCTATCTTACAGGTAAGAAAACTGAGGCCCAGAGAGGTTGAGTAAGCTGCCCTAAGGTTGCACAGCCAAAAAGGGGACCACAATCCCAATCTGTGTGACTCCTAAAGCCAAACCTCTCTACCACTCCATGTTGACAGGGAGCTCACCAGCTGCATCTGGCCCCCATCTAGGTCTCCAACCTCATTGAGCACCGCTTGCCCACAGCTTCCAATCTAAGGCCACACTGGCTTCTTGCCAGCAGCTCTGGCCCCTGGCCCTTCCCCTTGGGGTTTATGTCCATGCTGTTGCTTCTACCTGTATATTAGCCCCTCAGTTCTCAGAGCCCCCAGTCTTCCCTGACCACCTAGTCTAGCCTCCATCCCCTATTCTCTCAGAGCATTCTGCTCTCTCCTTTCACTTCTACTTCCTTCTTCAGAGTCCCCTAGTTCAGCTTCTCAGTTCTCAGCCCACCCCAAGGCTAGTCCCATCCAACTCTGCCCTGATGCACAGCTGCCCCCACCGCCAGCTGGACCTCTGTCTGTGTCCTCCTCATCTTTGTACCCACAGCACTTAGCACAGACCCCTACACACAGGATATGGCTGAGGTGAGGCCACCGAATCAAATGCCATTGGCAGGGTCTGCCGCTGAGGATGCCACTTTCCCCCTGGTGTCACCAAGTTCAGGAGAAGCACATGAGGAGAAGAGGACCTGACTTCCCCTTCAGAGGTAGGCTCCAACTGACTAGCCCCGTCTGTCTTCCTCCCACCCCTTCACCAGGCCCCGGGTTGCCAGTGTTAGCGGGTCTCCGACATAAGGCAGAGGAGCATCCCTCTCTGGGGTCTCTGCATCACTTCTTCCCTCACTCAGCCAGCCAGCCAGTTGCCCAAGACAGCGCTGCCTGAACCTGAAGCAGCTTCACCTCCCATTCTCAGAGGAATGCTCTAGCGTTGAAGCTCTGTTTTGTCTTTCAAAAGAAAGTAAAGAATTAGTCCTGACCCAAGAGATCTATAAAGGGGAAAGGCCTTTTGTTTTGCCTCTTGAATACAGTGGAGGCCCTAAGAAGGTTTTTACCCTTCTAGGTGTGTGGAAGGGTGAGTCTGGGTGTACTGGTGAGCACGTGTGAGTGTGCAAGTGCCGTGCACATAGGGGAGAGAGAGCACACAGGTGTGTGGTTACAACCTGGATCGGCCAGACCTTGGCTATGTCACTTGCTGGCTGAGCAACTTTGGGCAACTTGCTTAAACACTTTGGACCACAGTTTCCTCATCTGAAAAACGAGAGTAAAATATAATTCTCCTTTCATGCATTGTTGTGAGAATGAACCTTCAGAATGAGTGTTCTGTAATCACTAAAACACCATCTAAGTCTTAGCAGTTGTTAGAAACAGAAGGCAAAAACAGAGCTTTGGAAAAATCTTCATTTCTCCCAAATCGTAACGACTTTCGGACCTCAGAGGTTAGCCTTGGCTGTGTTCTGGGTTTAGCGAAACCAAAAATGCACCCAATAACTCAGATCCCAGGAACCTTCATGACTAAGTTCATGTGGCTTGTTACTCAACGCAAATCCACTTTCAGGAGGATTACTTCACCTCCCATTTGGGCTCTGAGCTTATGAAACAAAATCCTAGGAGCCATGGAGAATGCCAAGTGGGACTGGGGGAAGAAAACCAACAGGTCAGGTCTCGGTCCAGAGCCTAAGGAGGGCTTTGTGAAAAAAGTAACAGATAAGCCAAGATTCACTGAGATCCACCATAACTCTCAGCCAGAATATACTGGAAACACAGAACTCAACAGTGCTAGCCCCTTGTGCCGGCAAGTCTTTATTTCCAGGGACACGATTATTTGCAGAGCCACCCATGGAGATAATTAAACCTCAGGACTGTTTTTAAAGCTTCCCATGAGTCCTGTGACATGTGACAAGCTCGTGCCCTACAAGATCAACTGACAAGCGTACCAAGAGAAACGTATTCTTGGCTCCATCTCGCACCCCCTCTGCCTCTCACAGCCTCTTACCTTCCCAGCTCCTCTCCGATGTCGTAAAAGTCCTCTACCTTCTGCTGCTTGAACGTCTCCATGTTTGGGCTCCTCATTGAGACCTGGAGCATACAGCCCTGAAACTGAAGAAACGTGAGATTAGGACAGATGTGTAAATTGGCACAAGCCTAAGAGTCTGGGTCTAAAAGAAATCAGCTGCAAGGGAGCTAATAATTTGACAATAATCCACAGCCCTGCTTCCTCAAGAACTGCCCTGCTCGAGCCTTTCCTCACCTGTGGCCAAATGACCCTGTATGGTTCTTATTTGATTTAGGTTCATTCAGATTTGTTAAGGAGACTGAAAAAGAGTCCTCCTCACTTCTTCAGATCTGCTCTGAACAACGTCAAAGAAACAGAGCCGTGGTAACTTCAGCAATTTGTTCTCAGGAAATTCAGGTGCACTGAGAAAAGAGGCAGCTGTGATGGAGGAGCAAGAACACTTGTTTTTGAGTCAGAGATCCAGGTTCAAGTCCCAGTTTTGCTTGAGTAAGTCCTTTAAACTGCGGAAGACTCAGCTTCCCTGTCTGTAAAGGGGGCTAATGCTATAAAAACCAACCGCAAATCATGACATTATTTTGTGAACTATAAAATGTAGTCAAAAGGTAAGGGATTTTCATGACCTCAGATCCCTGAGGGGCTGTGCCACCAGACTGCAAGTCTGAACTGATTTGTAAACTCTCACTCATCACCCCAAGGGAAAGATGGGTGGGAGTGGTGTGACAAATTACAACAGGCACCAGGAGCCTGAGGCTCTAGTTCCAGTATTGCCCACAGCTAGCTCTGTGACCTCATCTCATGTCAGAGGAGCCTCCATTTCCTCATCTGAAAAACGGAGCTAATTCTGCCTGCCCAGGGCACCTCAGCGAGGACCACAGGACAACTCTGGGCCATGGGGAGGAGGGCTCACCAATGCACCAGAAGAGACCGTTTGCATCCTGCCCTGGGATCCCCCTGCCCCAAGGAGCTCACCCATGCTTGCCACCCTGGACAGCACCCAGAGGGCAGGGCCCAGGACATGGTCTGCAAACCACAAATATAACACCAGCTGCCTGTGGATGTGTCTTTCAAGAGCACTAGCACCGGCCTCTCAGAGCTCATTTTGGCTAGCGTTGGCAGCTGTTCTTCTGCCTGCCAATCAGATACCAACCACACCCAGGCTCCATGATCCCCAAAAGACTGTTTTTACCAGGCGGGGTGGAGGCACCATTACATAAGGACACAACTCATCAATGCCAAGTGGCTGAGCTGTTCTAAGTTTCAGGCGATGTGTACATTTCACTCTCTTTCCTCCATCTCTGCCCTCTGTAAACCAGAGCTCTGTTACCAAGATGCCACCTGTCACTCTCCCTTCCACCGAGGCACATACATCCCTGAAGACCTCCAGGCCTTACTCTCAGGGTCGCCTGCTGACCTCCTGCCTGCAAGCACTCCTGGTCCATCACACATCCTCCTCCCCACTTGGTCTTCACTCTGTACTCGACCAGGGCCCAGCGAGCATGGGATACTGAAAAAAAGCAGGCTCCAGAGGCCCCAGTTCTAGGCTAGTCTGGGTGTAGAGTAGCTGTTACACACAGCAGGTTGGCACACTCTCTGGACCTCAGTCCCCCTCATCTGTAAACAGGGATGATAACATCTATATCACCTACTTCATACACCTGTGTGAGGATCCATTGTGATAAACGCATAAACTGCTGGGCGAATAACAGGATGATTGTTACCATTATTATTTGACTCATCCCAGGCTAATGTTTGTGTTTCTCTTCCCACCGCCATTGAGGTAACCAATTCCGTTCCTTTCTGAGGAAAGGTTTGGAGATCCTCCTGGCAAATGCGGCTTGACCAGAATCAGAAGCTTGACACGCTCACCCCCCCTACCCACACCCCCATCCTGGCAAATCTCCTGAGACAAGCCCAGAGGGTGGCGGGATTGCTACCCAGCATCTTCTTTGTGCTGAAAAAAATCTTTCCAAATAAACTCTTTGTGTCAGGTCCTTGAGGGTGGGAGGTGGGGGTGGGAGGGAGTTTACTAATTTCACACAGCTAGATGGAAGCAGAAAACACCAAAAAGTTCTGTTGGCAGATACTGTGAGAGTGGTCCCAGGAACAGCTAAGATCCTCCTTTGGCACAAGGCCAGGGCCATTTGCTATCAGGAGCTGAGCTGGATTTGAAGCATCCCAGCTCCCCAGCAAAACAATAAGCCCATCCTTGGGTTCTACATTCTGGTGGCCAGGGTAGGGGCACAGAGCCCCAAAGACAAACTAGGCCCACCAGTTTGGCCCCAGTTCACTTTCTCAGCCTTGGGCCCCTCTCCCCACATAACCTATATTACAGTCAAAGTAGACCTTTCCCTAAGAAGGTGCAAGCAGATGTTTTCCCAATGGTTCATGTTAGAATGCTCACAGCAGCGCTATTAGTAATAACTAAAAATTGGAAACAACCAAATGGCCGTCAATAGATGAATGAATAGAGTTATACCCATACAGTGGAATTATTATACAATGACAATAAACTACTGCTACGTGAAACTACATAGATGAAACTCACAAACATAATATTGAATGAAAGACGCCAAACACAGAAGACTTCATATTGTGTGATTCCACTTAGGCAAAACTAATCGATGGTGCTAAAAATCAGAATAGTGGTTACCCCTGGGTAGGGGATTGTGCCTGGAAGAGAACACAAGGGGGTTTCTGGGTGCTGGCAATGCTGTTTCCTGATCTGAGTAGTGGTTACATGGGTATATGAGATATATACTTACTTTGTATGCAAAGTTTTACAAAATACAAAATGACTCTTATATCTACTTTATGGGACAAATGAGATATCATATGTAAAATGTTTACAATAGTGCTTGGATGGTCACAAGGCTTCTGAGGGTTAACAAAGATTTCCTAGAGCCTCATAAAAAGGGGCCTCAAAGATCATGTAGGGGATTTTTAGACGCTGCTTCCAGAGCCACCAGCGTGAGGAAGGGGAGCCAGAGCAGTTCCACGTTAACCATACTGTATGTTGGGGTTCTGTGTAAGAATTCACTGGGAGTGGGGTCTGAAAACCACTGCTATCTGGTCCAACCCACTTGTTTTACAAAAGGAAGGAACTGAGGTCCAGACAGGGGAAGGGACTTACTAAAAGTCACACGTCCAACCCACTCCAGCTGTTTTTCCCGGGCTTCTGTTTTTCCCAGCTCTCCAATGGTGGCACCAGGGTTGGGAAAATCAGTAGCTTCCAAAGGACAACCTAGGAGGAGACCTCCAGGGCTGGAGGATCACCCCATAGGGGACTCAATCCTACTAAGACCTCTCCCCCACTGGCCCCAGCTCACTCTGCTGAACTCTCAGAGATCCTCACCCCACCTCACCCAGTGCAAGTCAGTGAAACAGGACCATCACAAAGGGGCAGACTGTCCCCTTACACCTCCCAACCCAGCCCTGCAATTAGGAATCATCACACTCAGGCTCCGAGGGGGATGCCAACAGAAGGGAGGGGGCTCTAACATTACAGAGCCCCGCCAGGCACTCGAGGCTTTGACCCACCCTAATCTCTGATGAGGAAGCTGGGGCTCCAAAAAAATTGGCCACCTGCCTAAGTTGACATGAGAAAACTCCATTTTTTAGTGTAAGTCCAGCTCCACTGGGCTGCCTGCTTGTTCACCCCCACATCTAACAACTAGGGAGGCCTTAGGGAGGTGGTCAAGGTCAGCTCAGGTCTCATTCCTGCCAGCCAGAAACTTGCCCCAGACCAGCACATACCACCACATCCACAAACCCCTGTGCCCCCTGCCCAAGGCTCTCCCAAAGCTGCTGAATTATTAGTGGGGCCACTTTAGGTACTAAAAACAGGACTCAAAGTATTTGTGAAGGGGCCAAAGCACCAGCATCCCTCAGTCATCAGGACTCTCTTAGGAATACCTTACAGAGGCAGTTGGGAAATGAGTGTCAGAAACCATAGCAACAGCCCCCAGCAGCCCTCCTGGAGTACAAGGTATCCCAGGCTATGCTCACTCCACCTGTCTGGAGTGACCTTCCCACCTGCTTCTGAGGTAGCCAGCTATAGTGCCCTCTCTTCCAGTGCGCACCCCTAATCTACCACTAACTACATGGCCTCCATGCTCTCCTCTCTGGGTCTCATTTCTCCTTCCTGAAGTGAGAATGCTAATGTCCACCTAGCAGAGTTACAATGAGGATTAGCCAGACCCACACATATCATGAGACATTCGCAATGCCTGGTCCAGAGTCGTGGTCAACTGTTGACAACAACCTTCTATGCTTTCTACCCCAGCCTACACAGACCTACTTGGCTGCCCTCATGCCCACCCTAGCTCTGCCCCAACCCGGGCTCCTGATGAGGGGGCTCACAGCTTCATTCTGCAACACAGAAAGCAGACTGTGCGGGGAGCAGCTTCCTAGCATCACCTCCTGGAGCAAGGGGGTTGGAGGTGTGTGAGGAGGCTGATGCTAAGAAAACCTGGTCCCTCTCCTCCCAGAAATATGAGGTGCTCTTCCCCGTCAGGGGGCCCTAACTTGATGGAAGTCTGTCTCCCATCTCCTTCCTGGGTGCCAGGCCTCTGCTCGCCACCCCGTCCCTCAGATCAAAGTGACAGGTTTCGCAGCGCGCCCTTGAGGCACAGCGAGCGGGTCCTAGCGTTCCAGTGCTGGCCGCAGCGCCCAAGGCCACGGCAGGCCATACCCTGGGAGCGGCGTTAGGGACAGGGCTTGGGGAACACATGAGAGCGCCCCAGAGCAATCTGCCCCCGCCAGTCCCAGCCCGGGGACGCCGCTGCCGTCTGGCCACGCGCCTTGTCCCGCCCGTCGAGCCCGCACACCCGCACTACTCACGGCAAAAGGCTACGCTGCGGCGGGCGCGGTGGGCACAGGGGGCACGGGGTGCGCAGCCGGGTGCGCGGCGCTCGGCTCGGCTCTCCTCCTTGCGCGCCGGGCGTCCTCCCGCCCGCCGGCCGAACCACTGAGGAGCCGAGGGGGCGGAGCGGCCATCCCAGTCCCCGGCGCCGGCGGGCGTCCCGGGATGGGGCGCAGGGCGCCCCCTGCTGGAAGCCCCTCCTGACAGCCCCGGGACGAGGGCCCCGAGCCGGCCTGCTTGGTCCGGCGGTCACCTCGAGAGCTCTGGCAAGACCCTCCAGGCTTCCTTACCCGCTCTGCCCCTCACGTGCTGTGTGGCCTTGGGCAAGTCAACTAACGTCTCCAAGCCTTGTTTGGAAATCGATTCAAGTGAGCTGATGCATGAGACACAACCTGGCACAATCGCTCAGAAAACGGTATTTTCTTGCCCCAATTCCCCAACACACACCGTGAGAGAGGACGTCCCACTAGGGAATAGGCTGCTTCCTCCCTGCCAGCCAGCATGCTCCCTGACACCGCACAGATTCTCCTGGGAACCTCACCACCCACGTTTCATGGTGCGGTGGGGGCTGTGATGGGGAGGGACACTCCCCTCCGCACCACCACCCCTGGGCTTGGGAGTAGCCTGGCCTCGTTTGCCCTCTGTACCCCAGCCCTGGCAAGATCGATGAGTGAAGCCTCTCCTCATCATCAAGTCTTCCCTAATAAAGGACTTGGGAGTGAATTCCTCCTCTCTTCCTTACCCCAAAATCCCAGGAGGAAAAAAAGGAATGAGGGGGGTGAGGGAGGAAGGAAACAGAAACAGAACCTCAGCCAAGTTCAGTGTTCTTTCTTCAAGACAAGAGGCTGTTTAGCAAAAGGAAATGGAAACCCCCTTCCCAGAGCTTCCATCCCTAGGTCACCTACGGAGCTTCTCAAGACAGTCGTAGGTAAAGAGCATTTTCGGAGCCCTGCGTTGGGGTCAAAGCCCTGCTCTGACATTCCCCATGTATGATCTTAGGCATGGCACCTGTGCTTTTCCTTCATCGGTAAAATGGGGGAAACACCCCCTCATACAGCATGTAATGGAGCTACTGTGAGGCTGAAATGAGACAGTGTGTAAGATGCACCTAGAGGGCCTCTACCAGAGTCAGCAACCTTCCTTCTGCCCTTTAGCCTTTCCAACACTGGGGTACTGACAAGTACAGACAAACCCTCCTTCCGGCTGACCAGTGCCTCAGGGCCTGGTACAGCCTGGGGAAAGATCCCAGAGCTTCCTTGTTTATAAACTTTACAACATCTCAGGACAGGACAGGCTCTGAGCTTCCTCTCCCAAGAGCAATATGCTACCTGGAGCAATTATCCAAGACCATAGGTGGCTTCCGAAATCAGCAGGCAGAGGAGGACATCTGCTGAGGCTTCACCAGGATAAGGACAGCCTTCCTCCTCAGACCACCCTCAAAACACCCTCCCCCCTCATGTCCAGTTATCTATTAATGCGTAAAAAAACACCTTTGGTGGCTTGAAACAACAATTTTGTTAGGCTCACAAATTCTGAGGGTCAGGAATAGCACGTATGGCTTATCTCTGCTCCACAAAGCTGAGGCTTCAACTGGGAACACTTGAATGGTTGGAGAATGGACTATTCTGGAGGCTTCTTCATGCACATGGTCAGTACCTGGGCCATGATGAACCCAAGGCTGAGCTCAGCCAACACTGCTGGAGCACCTACATGTAGCCTCTCCATCCAGTCCCCTCTGAGCCTCATGCTTAATACCTGATTTGCAGCAACAGTATCCCCTTGCATGAGGCAACACAGACATTTGGGGATTTGGTACTCGGCAAATTAATCAGAGAACATTGCACTTGGAAGGGTCGTCATCAGTCATCCTATCCAGCCTGGTTATTTTTCTTTTTCTTTTTTTTTTAATTTTCTGCACCTATTTCTTTTAAATTTTTATTGGGGAACAGTGTGCTTTTCCAGAACTCATCAGCTCCAAATCAAGCAGTTGTCTTCAATCTAGTTGTGGAGGGCACAGCTCCGTGGCCCATGTGGGACTCGAACCAGTAATCTTGGTGTTATAAGCCTGCACTCTAACCACCTGAGCTAACCGGCTGCCCCCAGCCTGGTTATTTTTCAAATGAGGAGGCAGAGCTAAGACTAGAGCCAGGGCTCCTCCAGATTCTCAATTTGTTGCTCTTTTCACTGTACCTGCCAAATGTGGTTGCCTAGAGAGGTACCATCTGAAAATGCACTTTAGGGCCAGCCGAGTGGCTCAGTTGGTTAAGAGCTCACTCAAGAGCTTGAGCTCTGAGCAACAGCGGTTCAATTCCCAGCCCGAGCTGAGCAGCTGCTGAGCTGCCAACATTTGGCAGGATGGCTCAGCTAAAAAAAAAGATAAATTGAAAATGCACTTTATACTCAAGGCTGAGTGAGTTTTTCAGAGCCTCACCTGCAAACATTGACAGGATACTGAGCACTGAATATGGGACCATGGCAATCATGGCAGAAATGCAGAGGCCCTAAGGGTGGTGGAAACAAGGATGCAGACTCCGGAATGAAGACAGGAGAAAGTCCAGGTATTAAGAGCTAAGAATTGTGCAGCTCCATTCCAATTCCTGCATGTTTCCCACAGCTGACCAAGTAGAGTCCACATGCCTCCCCCTGGCAGTTGAGGTTCCTGTCTGCATTTCTCCACTATGCACTCACATCATTTGCCCTTTTGTGCGTGCACATCCAGCCCTTTTGCTAGGTTGGATTATTGGCTGTTCCTGTAAACATGTTTTTTTTGTTTTTGTTTTTTTTAAGATTTTTATTGGGGAATTTGGGGATGGGAACAGCACTGGGGAATTGGGGGAAGGGGAACAGACAAGTTGCTGTCGTTCTGTTCTTCAGTCTAGTTGTGGAGGACATTGCTTCACTGGCCCAAGTTGGCACCATCATTGCACTCTTCCCGGGCGAGGCAGATCAGTCGCCGGCTTCTAGATGGCCGCTCACTGCGGCTGCTGGCCACTCACGCTGGCTGCTGGCTACAAATGGTAGCCCATGGCAACCCACTGCAGCAGGGGCTGCAGCCTACGCAGTTGCCGGGGACTCATGGCAGCCCAGCAACAGGTTGAGCTGTTGTTCAGCATCTTAGCTGTAGAGGGCAGTATCACTGGCCCTCATATGTGGGATCCGAACCGGGGCCCTCTGGCGTCCCAAGCCAGCTCTTAACCAACGCGCCACTTGGCCGGCCCCAAACATGCTTTTTTAAAAGCCGTTCCACCACCCTTATCCCATGCTACAAAATACTATCCATCCTTCAAGGGCCTTCAAGGTATCATATCTTCCATGGAAACTTCCTTGATCTGCCCTCTAGATGGCTTTGTCCCCTGACGCCTACCACTCATGGTTTGTACCTAATCGGCATTCCCTTTCCTCTATTTTAGTTATGATTAGTGTTCACTTCTCTTTTCCTCAAGGGCAAGGACAATATCTTATTTATCTTTGTACCCATATAGGGCCTGATATCCTAAATCTAACAAAGCTTGTTAAATTGAATTACTGCGATGTAAAAGCAACAAAGTAAGGGATCATACCTGTCTTGTTTCCTATTGTTCCCCAAGAGTCCCCAAGTGCCTGGCACTTGGTAATCTCATGTTGGATGAAAAGATGTATAATTCATTTTAATAGCTGCCACATATTACATTTCATTTAGCCTTCCCAGTGCCAGGTGCTTTATTTCAAGGTGGATGTTGTTATCCCCTTTTAACTGAGGTAACTGAGACTGCAGTTGACTTGCCCAAGCTCACCCAACCTGTAAGTGACTGAGTTGTACTGTGAATCTTGCCCGCCCATCTCCAAAGCCCAAGCTCTGCCAGCCCTCAATTGAAACTTCCAAGTATTCTAAAATGGTGGGGTTCTCAGCCCTGGCTAACCATCAGATATGCCTTGGGAGTGTTTAAAAATCCCCATGCTCAGACTGCACCCCACACCAATTACATCAGAACCTCTGGGAGTGAGGTTGGGCATCAGTAATTGTTAAAATTCCCCAGGTGATTCCAACATACAGATTGAGAACTATTTTTTCATGTCACAAAAAATCTGGGGAAATGAAGGCATCCTTCATCAACCCACCACACTGCAGACACATATGAGCACCTGCTTTGTGCAAGACACTCCAAGGGACCATGAGATAGGTGTGTCACTGGAGCTCGAAGCTTCCACAGGATGAGAAGACGAGCCCACAGGGAAAGATGTAACCATGGCAGGCAGTAAAGTTCAATGAAAGTGGTGATATCCTAAAACTTACTTTGGTATCTGGCACGTTTACAGAGCTTAACCACCTGCTGATGAGGAGGCAGGGCCTGGATGAAGCTGCTGCATGTGTCGGCCAGGGCAGCTGGCGTTGGATTCGGCCTGGAGGATGCATAGTGTGAGGGCTACACATAGGGTCTCTGACGCCAGATGCTTGAGTGTAGATAGCAGCACACAATTTACTGTGTGATCTAGGGCAAGCTTCTTGACCTCTCTGTGCTTCATTATCCCCACTGGTCAAGTGGAGATAAGAATAGCATTTATCTCATAGGCTGTTGTGAACATTGAATTAGTTATGGATATATGTGAAGGACTTAGATTAGCGTCTGGCACATGATAAAGTGCTCAGTAAATATTAGCTATGTTTAATATTCCTTAAATGTCTGGTGTGAGCTCCTCTAGAGGACTAAACGGATCTCACCCATCTTTGTACCCCACCCATCCCCATCCTGATCCAGAGCAGGTTCTAAGCAAGTGTCAAATGAAATGTGGAACACAGCCTTCTTGATAACGGGTACAGTGCTGACTGCTTTCTTAGGCTATCAAGGCAGGCCAGGCGGTTCCTCCCCAGCTGGCTCACCGCCTGGGTGGAAGGCAGGCAAGAAGCCTCCTCCTCCCAAAGGTGACCGGGTGGCCTGGCTTCTTAGTCCTTCCCTGTCCACCCTGCCCTGTGCCCTCTGCTCTCCCATGCCCAGCCAGGCAGGGGTAGGGGTGTGGAACTGGCCTGGCAGTCCTTCCTGCTTCCTCCCTCAAGACGTAGGCTGCTTCAACCTCTAGCCTTGCTGAACTCAGTAAGGCCTTGACCCTACCACAGGGGGGGGGGGGGGGGGGGGGGGGGAGGA